GTGGATATGTGTTTACCTAGGTGGAGGAGCAGTATCGTTGAAATCGGTAAAGTAGTCATGTAATACAAGTTTAACAATGGAGGCCGAATTTATTGCACTAAAATTGGTGGAGTCCAAGGTAGAGTGGCAAAGGAACTTACTGGTAGATATACCACTTTGGCCACGCCCGATTCCGTCTATATCTCTCCATTGTGATAGCCAAGCAGCAATAGCCAGAGGCATTAACCAGACTTACAATGGTAAAAGAAGGCATATCCGCTTAAGGCATAACCTGGTAAGACAATACCTCAAAGAAGGTACAATCGCTCTGGATTTTGTAAGGTCTGAAAAGAACCTTGCAGATTTGTTAACCAAACCACTAACTTCTAAGGTGGTTTATGAGGTATCAATAGGAATGGGGTTGAAGCCCGTTACATAAGTCATTAGTGATGGGCACCCAACCTATGTGAAAAGAGATCTCTGAAATTATGTTGAATGGGTAAAAATGAATTGCTAGATGACTTGGGAAAGCATTATCAGTTTGTGTCCCATTTCAGATGCCGAGGTAAGATAGTGCTCACTGCAATTTGAGGAGGTTGAGCATGGGGCTCTTAATCAGTTAAGAATAGTGTGTGCAGTGCATGCTAAATAATTGACCCAAGTGAGTGTGAAGTGTAGCCACTTTTAAGAGAGATTTATGTCTGACTCTCTAAAACACTCATGACTCCAAGAGGGGAACAAGGCCAAAATGTTCTAAAACAGAAGAACCACTAAAGAACTAGTGAGTTTAGTTGGTTGGCAGGTTAACTAGTTGCGACAAAGAGGAAAGGTTAAAGGAGTCTGACTTAGGAATGGCAACAGGGCAGGATGGGGATGGAGAGCCTCTCCCCATCCCCGTCCCTGCGGGGATCCCCATTCCTCGTGATTTTTTATAATGTTAACCAAATTATTTTTGTTTTTTATTTTATTTAAAAAAAATAAAAATAAAATAATTAAAATTTATAATACTATTAGAAAAGATTGAAACATATTCAACCATATTTTTAAAAATATTAATATATAGATGTATGCGTACATATATACATATATAACGTATACATACATATTAGTGGGGATCCCATGGGGCAGGGATCAGGGTCTCTGTAGGGTGGGGAGTGCTCTCCCCATCCCCACTCCACCCCCGCTAACGGGGATGAAAATTTCCCCATCCCCAGGGGAAAATCATCCCCATCCCTACCCCAGTCGGTGCGGATCCTCACGGGGATCGGGGAAATGGGGAAAATTGCTATCCCTAGTCTGACTCTACCCGTACTCTGTAACATAGCTTGTCATACCTAAGTGTTGATTGAAGTCCAAAAGATATCACCATGAATACTTTTTCTCACCGCGATGCTCAGATTGTTTGATCTTCTTGTAATTTTAAATCTTGTGGGGGATTGTTGGAGGGAGATTCAAAATTTCAAGAATCTCTCTCCTCCCTCTCTTGTTTTTGAGTTTTGTTTTTTCCTCTTCCCACTCTTGTGCATGAGAAGACTCCTTGTCTCACATTGCTTGGGAAAGGAGTAGACGTGGAGTATATCTATAGTTTTGCTCTCTTTATGGGTAGGGACCGATAGGAGGAAAGCACTATAGATATCCCATGCATGTGAAGGGGGGTTGGGGGTGCTTTTCACACGCGTGCATCGAGCCGAGCTGGGCCAGTCCAGGCCGAGTCGGTGCGGGTGTGCATACGTCTACGTGTACATGTACGTGCGAGCGATGCACTGAATTGGTTTTGTTTTTACCAGATTAATCATTTGACTTTTAAATTTCGAATTTGATTTTATACGTTTTTCTTTTCCTTTTCATGTCTCTTCCTTTCTGAAGAGGCCCTGTTTGAAAGGACACCTCTGTGTCCATTCGGGTCTAAGAAAACTCTATAAAAGGAGTGTTGGTTGACCCAGTCTACACACCATTTTTACATTTTCAACAGTCTTCTCTTCATTGTCTTCTTTGTCAATCTGAGCATCATTCTTTATGGTTCACGAAGGTCTGGTAAGCGAGTGCACGCCTACCAGTGGCCTGTAAGTTGTACCGTAGGGGACAAATGCGGTTTTAATGAGAGTGACCAAGTGGCACGACTCAGCCCTTCTTCTCTCTGCAATTCTGCAACATCACACTTCTGCAAGTTTTGGTTTGAAAAGCGATTACCGGTAAGTTCCGTTCTGTCTTCTTTATTATTTTTCCAACATAATAATACCAAGAAGAAGAGAGAAAGCAGGCACTAAGACGGGAAGTGAGAGATAGACAAATAGGGGATCGAGGGAAAGAGAGGGAGAACGGAGAGGAGCTGCTACTGAGTTTAAATCCGCCACTACAAGTTGTAATGGTAGTGATGAAATAGGGGAAGGGAACGAGAGAGAACAAAGGGGAAGAAGGAGAGAGAGAGAGAGGCCGAAGGTGGAGGGGGTTATCACATCGCTGCCCGCCTCTTTCGGTTTGCCGTTGTAAGTAGAGAGAGAGGAGAGAATGAATAGTAGTGAGGAAGAGACCAAGGACAAAAGGGACATTTCATCATTTCCGTTACAATTTAACAGCGATGTCAATTATCAGAAACAATAGGGGTGGTTTAAGACAATAGTTAAAGAGTAAGGGTACAGTTTGTCAATTAGCTAAGCAGTAGGGGTAATTTAAAAAATTTGCCCTCCAAAATATTAGGAATTGAAATGGATTGGTTTGGATGTGAGGTGTAATGGATCGATTTAAATAAAGCCAAAATGGTAGACTTGGCAAGGAACAGAAGAAATAAACATGTTGAAAAGCTTGAGATAATTTAAGCAATGTTTTAAAAATCGATTTGGAGGTTGAATTGTTTTTGCTTTTGAGTCTCCATTCAATCACTTGGGTCGGATGGATCAGACCATGACATGTCAATATATGCACACACACACACACACAAGCAATGTTTTTAAGGATTTTCTGTAAATTCTTTTTTCTAAATGTTAAATAACATTAAAATGTCCCCTATGAGAGGAGAAGAAAATCGAGCTTGACTAATCCATCTAGTCTAATTCTCTAAATATTGTATTCAATACATTTTAATAGGGAAAATTCCACTTTAGTACCCTGAACTTTTAGGGGTAGTGTTAAGTTAGTACCCGAACTTTCAAACATGTCACTGACTCACTACAATACCTAAATTTTCTAAAAGTGTCAAGTTGGTCTTTGCCATTAACCAACCATCATTTATCTGTTGAAAATGTCAAAACTACCTTTAAAAAAAGACACTGTTCATTGTCTTCTACCTTGAGACTAAACCGGTTATCTTCAAAGAAAAAGATAGAAAAAACATGAAATATGATAGAGGGAAACAATAATTGAAAGCAAAGAAATAATTAGACAAAGAATGTGTTTCAGATCTAAAGGTAGAAGACAATGGCTTCATTAGTCTAGAATCTCAAACACCTCAACCAGTTCAGTCTCAAGGTAGAAGACAATGAACAATGTCTTCATTTGAAGGGTAGTTTTGACATTTTTCAATAGATAGCTAACAATCAATTAACAGCAGGGACCAGCTTGACACTTTTTAAAAATTTAGGTACTGCAGTGACACGTTTGAAAGTTCAGGTACTAACTTGACACTACCCCGAAAGTTTAGGGTACTAAAGTGGAATTTTCCCATTCCAATATATAACCCATGATTGGGTCAAATGATTCATTTGCCCAGGTTGATAGATATCCAATCAAGTCAAGAATCTTTATATCAAATTGTAGGTTTTAAGATTATTGGACCCAAAAAAGGAGTCGGGTGATGTTCTAATGGTTTGAACATTAGGGTAAACAATGGGTTGAAAATATTATTTTGATTTCTAAACCAACGGGACCATATTTTGCTCATTTTAACAAGAAGAGCAAATTTTCCTCCAAGACCTAGCACACCTAGGGCCTCTATTGAGGAGATCGGATTTGGTCCTCACAAGACCACACTCACACCATACTCAAAGCCAATTGCAAAAAATGTATCAGAAATATCTCCATACTTGTATGCACTACTTTGAAAATTGGACCAGACTAGATGGTCGAACCATTTGGCCTAGGAATCAGTTAGGTCACTGGTTCTATTCTGGCCTTGAACCATTATTTTTACAAAAACCGTTTAAAGGGTCAAAGAATTGCTGACCCTGATGGTTTAATTGTTAAATTGTTCGACACGATTAACAATTTTTGGGTGCTTTCAAACTAATTCCAATTTTTTATTTATTTTAAAATAAAAAAAATTGAAAAAAAAGACTTTCATATCCTATAATTTTGTTCGATTATTTCCAATGGCCAAGATTAGTTAGGTTTTTAACTTTTCCACTTTGATTTTGAGTTTTCTAGGTTGTAAACAATAAAAAGAATTGCAAATCTGAAACGTTGATCAATCATAGATGCAAAAGATGAGAGATAAGAGACTGATCTCATCTGAGATTTGAAATCGGAAATACACAAATAAAACAAATATGGTCTAAGGATCTAAGAGAGATTTAGAGCGATAAAAAAGATCTAAGAGGCTAAATGGTGCTGCAACGATGGTGATGATGAATATGGCAATAGCTGCCATTGGAGCTTCCTTCTCTTCTTCTTCTCAGGAAAATGGTGCAGTAACTACGAATAGTGAACACAACATGCCGCCAGCACTTCCTCCTCCTCCTCGCACTCCTCTATGATAATAATGTACAGTTTGATCCATTCAAACCGAACGGTTTAATCATTAACCCGAAAATTAAAGGTTAAGCGGTTTCATTTTCGAATCGATTTTTGAAACCATGGTTATATGTTTTTATTCATGGGAGATAGTTCTCCGTGTCCGAGGTCCGAGGAGAGAGTGAGAGATATAAGCAGGGGGGGCAATGGACCAGAGTCTCAGGAAGCAGGTTTAGATTTTAGATAGGAAAACACCCAATCAAAAGGGTCTTTGAGTTCCACGTGTCGTCAGATGGAGCTAGCGTATCGGAGAGAGAGAGATTGTGGTTTGTGGATAGAAAAATCAAAAACGGATGGACGAAAGAAAGAAAGATGGTTTCACTTGCAAGCAGTTTTGTTCCATAAGCTAGTAAAGGAAGAAGAAAGCAGAGGGAGAGAGAGAGAGAGAGAAAGAGGACAAACAGAAATCAAGCCAGAGAGAAGACATAGTTGTTATTTGTTTGGGAGGAGGCCATGGCGATGGCGTGCACAGGCGCATCCTCGATGGCGGCAGCCGTATTAGGGCCTCGTCTCCCCACCTCCAAGCCCTCACGCAGCTCCGCCTTACCTTACCTCCCACCTTGCCCAGCTACTCTGTCTTTCTCGACCTCCTCCTTCCACGTTTCAGGTTCTAATCTCTCTCTGTATTCCTCCTTCCTTTCATTTTGTCGTAATTTTTTAGGAGAGAGAAGTGGTATAATATGCTGAATCACAACAAGTTTTTCAGTTTCCTGACCGTAATTTCCGCTGTAAATTTTTTATTGAACATTGTCCACTTTTATCATCTTGTTGCAAAATTAGGGGGAAAGTTGAGATTAATACATTAATTTGGAGTATAGCTACACTAGCCAAGTTAACGGATTCAGGTCCTGTTTCAGAAAGCCCTCTAATTCCACAATGTTAATAGCATAAATCTTCTGATTGAATTTTGGAGTTAATATACAGAAATGGGTATTTTTGTTGCGAGATGTCAAATATCTAACCCGCTTACCGAGATGGATTCATCGGCGAGATGCTCGAATGGAATAGAAAGCTAGTCACATTAAAACTATAGCTTTTGCAGGGAGAAGCTCCCTGTTAAATGTTGTTTACTGTAAGGGGGAAATAAGAGAATGATCAATATGTGCCTTTTGCGTTGCCATTTAAGATTGAAATTTCAATGGGAACTGAATTTTAGGCTATGTTTGGTTTGAAGGAAAAGGTAGGGGAAAGGAAGGGAAAGATAGGGAAACCTATGCAAGGCTTGTAAAGGTTTTCTTACCTTTGCCTTCCTTTCCCTACCTTTATAAGCCTTGTATAGGTTTCCCTGTCTTTCCCTTCCTTTCCCTACCTTTTCCTTCAAACCAAACATAGCTTAAGAGTTCAATCATCGGAAATGACACAAAATCAACTGAAGTCACAGGTGAAACTGACATTATGTTGAGTACTTCTTGTGATGTTTATGGGACCTTAAACCCCCTATTGATTGTTAATTTGGGAAGGAGAAATGCCTGATACTATTCATCTGGGGTTCATCACAATAGTTCCTTTCATGTTAATGGGTTTTTTGGGTGCTGATGCTGATCACAATAAACTAATGGAATTACGGTCTTGAGATTTTTTTATTTTTCCCTTTTCTCATCTTCCCATCTGAGACTGAGGCAAAAGGAAGCTCCAAGTCCTTGTGAAATTCCAACATGAGATCTAACCTTTTTTCTTATACCTTACACTAATTGAGCTGTCATGTCGATTAGAATGTACGGGAACTTTTTTTTTTAAAGGTAAGGTAATTTATTAAAATAAGAACCAGTACAAAGGAGCCTAGGCCATTAGAGGCTGCCTAGAACCACCACAATTACAGATACAACCAATTCTGAGATCTAAACAGACTCAAATTCTGATTTTTTTTTTGATGAATAATAATAAGTTTATTGATTTAGAAGCAACTTTAGAGTGAGTTCATACATCATCCCAACGAGACGCACGAGCTGCAGCCCCTCCTTGAGTCTTACAAGTAAACTAGGAAAGAAAAACAATAATCACAACTGAGCCCAAAATAATTCTTCCCTATTTACCCCTTGCTTAGCTAACACATCTGACAAAGTATTTGCTGATCTCCCCACCCACTGTACAGTGACCAACATATTCCTT